GCAAGTTGTCTGTAAACGATCATTGGGAAATTATTTGCGCGTCGAATGGAAATTTAACCAAACAATTCTCAGCTATGTCATTTACAATGTTGGAACAAGCTGCGCGCGACAATCTGGCTTGCATACAGGCTTCGGGTTAATGTATCGGTCGCGACAATAGACTAATAATTCATACCAATTACTGATAGTGTTCATTACGTGTTCCAATTACTTGTATAATTGTATTGTCGAATGAATCGTTCGACAAATTCTACGATTGTTCGAACGTGCGTTCGCCATCGCATCGTAGATTCGCGCTTGTTAGCCGAGTAGTCGTTTGTTGAATGCCTCGTTTAAAAATAATTAAGATCAAATTGCAATTAATTGATTTGAATCGTCCGTGATTTAGACTCGCTGTTCCCTTCATTATGCCGCGATCCATTCAGCGTTAATCGAAACGAATCCTCAATCTTCGCGTCCCGTTGCTTGTTGTAACTAATTCCTTTTTATTCTTTTTTTCTCGCGTTTCTATCGTTATCAACGACACTTAGGCCACGTCGTTGCGATAAAGCAATTAACATATGCTCCGGGCAAACAATTCGTATAGGCATAATTGGTGACAGGATAGTTTCATTAAGACGATAACGTTGCATAAGCATTCAGGGACGTCGCGCATTTGGTGCTCAACGTTCTAATTAGCCGCGCGATAACGACGTACGTACGAACGTGGCGTATACCACGAAATTGCGCTATAATTCATCGGTGAAATCTCTGGCATCGATGACACCAGAGCACACCGATGCATCGTGATCGCGTGACGCTCTGTCAACAAATTAAATCGCGATATCAACGTTATCGGTGTTTCGCCTCGGTGGTACACATTCGACCCGGCTCGCTCCATCATTCGCTAATTTATTCGTTGATTTATGAACTGCCGTCGTAAAAGTGCGAAATGGAACGGCGAGGAGTATCGTCGCTTCTTTTGTTATTCAGTGATGAATAACGAAGGACACCTTGTCGAGGATAAATTCTTGCCGACGAATGCTAATTTTGTAATTTATAAACAGTATAGCAGTTGCACAGAGAAACCAAGGGGGACGATTTACAAAGTGTCTGAGTTGCGTCTTCTTCGTCTTCATCTTCGATGGCAAATAACGAATCTTGTCGATAAATTCCGCGCCGAGAATCACCGAGTGAGAAACAATGGGACAATTTATGAAATATCGTTGCCTATTTTCGTCTGACATCTTGTTGAATTGTAAATTCTTGATGAACTCTGATTTGCCTGTGAAATGTTTATTAAGATCGCGAATGCATTAATTCCCAGGTAGGTATTTTACATGGTAATTCGCGACGCGTTGCCGCTCGCTGTAGCCAGCCCCTTATAAACTAACCTATTTATTTTAAACGCGTTGAGTGCAACGCCAGTCCCGAGTATGGTCGTAACGCCGAACTTTCTATTCAAGCTGTTGACAGCGCGTGTAAAACATATATGACAGTGCGCGGCGTTAATGAAGCCGGCTAAAAGTCA